ATGGCGCCAAATGACGCCAGCGCTCGAAACGGAATGTGATATTCGTGATCAGGGCATCGAATTACACCTATAGGCAACGTTTCAGCGAAAAATTTTTTTGAGTTTTTGGGGTAGGAATGGTTCAATAGTGCCGCTGCATCTATACCTATACTAGTTTTTCATTTCATCCGTTACACATGAACACATTGAATACACTTTTATCCAATAGTGCACTTGACCCCGCCTCCGAAGACTCCTCCCACTTACTAGTGGATTTATTGAAAATTTCGCCACTCTATAACTTTTTCACCGACATCCGCTTTTGGCATTCTTTTCACAGGTATAATTAATTTCACAGGTACTTTTCACAATGTAATTTGATATAATTTCACAGGTAATTTTCACAGGTAAACGTAATGGGCAATTTCCGAGTACCCATATTATGCCCCGCCCACTCGGCCACGCCATTTTTCAGGCATATTTCCCACAGTAGACTTTCGCCCCCTTGGACACGTCCACTTTTGCGACCTTTTGCAAAATTTCAACCTTTTTTCAAAATTCTTGCTTTTTCGACTGCTAGGTGAAGCGTCACCCACTATGAGTGCTCCGCCCACTTTGAAGACGTCCCACCCACTTTTGAAAGATGGTGCAGAGTGGCAGATTTCACCTTGTATGCTCAGGACCCGCTTGTCACTCGAAACAAACTTTGCCTGATTTTTTGTTCCGAGTGATGAACGATTACCAGCGAGAACACGATCAAACATTCAATGTCAAACATTCATTTCAGTGAATCGTGAGCCTTTGTTGTAATTTGAGGCACTGCGACTGACGAGACTACTTCTACCTTCTGAGAGACCATTTTCATACCTGTCTAACATCTATTGTGTACTTGTGTTTCTTGGCAAATAATTTCCCCATAGAAACAGTTACCACTAAAACTACAACACTAATGGCCAGTGCATCGCCGAGGAAGTAACGAAACAACGACACGTCCGGGAGTGACGGTGCTGGTAATCTGAAATATCATCTGGTCAGGAGTTTCTCAGGATTCTCGGTTCGTTATACAGCTTTCTTCGCTGCGGATGCTGGGAAGTTGCAGAGGGAGGGGCTGACGTGGCGCGGCGCCAGCTCGTCTTCCACTAATTGTGGTCGGCTTGCCAGCTTCCACAATTGGTGAAAAACGGGTTGACAACGTGCCAAACCCAGCCTCTTATCACGTCCCGGGGTGCGCAGCGAACAAAACTGCAGTGTGGAGGATTCCGCTTGCAGACTCACCCAGTAGGTATCACTCCTATGACTTTGACTCCGAATCGGTCATGTAAACTGATCAGATACGAAACGATTGTGCCAATGATCATCTGTAAAGGAGCAATTGTAAAGGAGTGGTGAAAATATAAAAAGGAGAGAGAGCTTTGGACGCTAATCAACCCCTTTTGGGTACGCGCCATGCACTCTATTTCCACTCAGAATCGTGAATGTGTCTGAGCGTAAAAAATAACTTGCGTGGGTCATTGATATATAGAACGATGTTCTGCTTCCTCATTAAGCCTCTTATCAATAAGAAGATCCGGAAGCGATTAAGGCTTGGATAGCCAAGGAAGTCTATTTGAGGTCTGATCCCGCTCCGTGCATTGTTGGATTCCAGTGAGGATGTGTGGAATGAGCCCAACGGTGGTTGCGTTTTCTAGCGATGGTGCCTCTTCTCCCAGAAAACAACAAGTAGTAGGAAACCCCGCACTACGCGTTGGTCAAGTGGGTGGAGTCACTGTGACACGAACACCCTTTTACTGACGGACTTCCTAAGATGGCAACGAGAACAAGTATTCCCCGAAGGAAGCGCAATTGTGCATGTGACCCCCACTTGCACGATCAGCACGGAATGCCCTTTAAATCGTTTTTCGTCCAGCTTAGCTAGTTAAATTCCACTTCAGCCGCAAAAAATAGCAAAACTAACCACGAACAAGTCATACGGTACTGGAATATTACATTTTCTCCTGATCAATGGATCGATATAGGTTTTGACCAAAAACAGTAACACGATTGTGCTCACAGATATTGCGAATGTGATCCAGTTCGCATAACCATCAATTATACTGCTAATTAAATCCTTATATATCTGAAAAAACCTTGTTAAATAGGGGAGAAAACTGGTTTGAAGTCAGCTTATTCAATGATTTGGCTAGATGTTTATGATGAATATGACTAGTGGAAAGCGGCAGCGAATCCGGCACAAGCAAGGAATGGCGCACAAGTGGCCTAGCGAAGGCCAACCATCAATCAATTCCGCCCATAGCTTTCGCTCCGCCTCTGACGGCCCGCCATAAAGGGTGATCTCCAAATGTCTGAGCTCTATTTGTAGCGGCAGAGAGAAAGATCTTACAGGGGGGGGAGCGGGGGCATAAAAAAAAAGACTTTTCTTCCTCGACTTTCGAGGCGCTATAAGTTACACTTTATCAAATTATTATCGGACATTTCTACCACCATATTAAGAGCATATCAAATACTATCATGATACTCCGCCACAGCCTTCTGGAGGAGCGCCCTCGCGAGATTCTGCCACGCGACCGTCAGTGGGTGCGTGAGTTCAGCAAGATCGTTGATTTCTCCGCCACTGTAGACCACCCTATTGAACTCCGCCCGACTCGAAGTAATTGAGGGGTTTAGGTCAGGTTACCTGCTTAGATATTCCACCTTCTTCAGGTACTCAACGCCCTTCCATTACAAGTAGGCAAGAGTTTCTCCAACGCCCTTCGATTTCATGTGGTGGCACTCAATGCTGTAGCAGTACAAAGTTTCCAAGAAGGTACGGGCGACCACATCGTTTGAAAGGGGATCTTCTTTTACGAGGTTGCCCCCCCAATGTAACCCGCTAAGCGTCTCAACCCTTCCCAGTCCGAGGTCCTTACTACAAACAATTACCGTCTTTCCATTCCAGGTAAGTCGGTCCATACCATCAACCCGCGCCTTGGCGACTGCGGTGAAGATGATGCCCTAAACGTAGCGACGTTGTCGGAGCTGTTCGATGTTGGAGGTCTTCCAGATTCGAGAGTAACCGGTTCCAGGCAGCTATCCATGGGTGCTCCACACCAGAAGTTTCGCAGCTGTTCGGAGGTGACATGAATTCCGAAGGTCTTCTCCAGTCAGGTTGCGGCTGGAGATGACTTCATATTTTGGTGTACATGAAGGTGATGGGCGAGCGCCAGCTCCTGCTTATAGAGGAACATCTTGGGTATCTTCCGCCCTGGTACTCGTATCCACGTCCTCTGTCTGGGCTGCGAAAACTTTGCTGATATGTGACTCGGTCGAAATGTCTTTTTTTGCCCCCCCCCCTGTATATTACTAATGCCAACTTATGTCAGTATTGATCCGCCCCTAAGCGATATCGGCACGATGGCAGCAAAATCGTACACCACCCAGAATCAACGGCAGAATCTTACGTCACTCCTCTAATGTCTGACGGTTTCTTTCCTTTTTTTCCTTCAATTACTTTCTAATCATGCTTACTGCTTTCACTTTCATTTTCAACTTATAAACAAATTAGATCAGCTGCCTTTGAAGAAGATCAGTATCTATTAATAAACTCACAAAAAACAATTTTCCTGGCCCAGAACGTTGAGGAAGTGGTACTCCAAGAATTTTATTGAGTTGAGCCGTAAATACATGCACAGCTGCTCCCGTGGTGAACCCACCTATAATCTGAAACAGCGCAAAGTTATGCATTCAATGTGGTTATATGTATAGCCCTGCTCTGTATTCTCTAGGGTTAAATGAAACCTACTTGATCGGAAAGAAATGCTGTGAGAAAATCCAATCGCAGAATTGCCATAGCTACCTAAATTATCAAACGTGTAGAAAAAGTAGTGAATCCTCGTGCAATCACGATTTGGTTCAGTCCTCAATGCGGCTAATGTTAAAGAGGTGTGATAAAGCCACGAGGGCGCTCTGATTGGTTCAATGCGGCAACCAATCACATGCCTACCACATACGCTCACGTCGCTGACAGCATACGACCCGCTGCGGATGTACAGAAAGCGAAGCTTCCCTTATGGAACCGAATATATTTTCCCGGGACCCACCTCGACAATGTGTATTCATGAGGCTCTCACCTTGGGGGACTGATTCATAGTGTTGACCGTCTAGGCCGCGTTCATACTTTGGGCAGCGTCCACCAGCGACTAATAGCGGCCACCACCGCTCTGAGCGTCAGGCAGCTCAGCGACTAGGATAGTATAGACCCCATACACTCCACTCCCGGACACTGCCGCTGGTAGACGCTGGCAGACGCTAGATCGATACCTATACTTCCCTAGCCCTCGAGACGCTGCTGGTCGCTGGTGGGCGCTAGCAGACGCTGGCAGACGCTCGATATCTATACTTTCCTAGTCGCTGATGCTGCTGCCGACGCTCGGCACGCTGGTAAATGTTGCCGCAAAGTATGAACGCGGCTTCATTGGAGGTTTGAGACGCTCGCTCTGTGAGCTACTATAGTAAGCACTACAACTAACTCTTACCTGTATAAAGCCAACACACATTGCCAGGGAAGTGACGATAGCGACGGATGTTTGCATTTTCGCCTCTTCACTCAAACCCTCGAGAAGGCTTCCATTATTGTTAATAGCCTTTTGTTCAAGGATACCCGATACTCGTTGGTTACAACTACCAGTCATCAAACTGACTACAGCGAAAACACCTGAAAACATCAAAAAGTGTATAGAGTTGCTCACAGTAAAAATAGCAGTGAGGTTCTCTCGGAAGCATGGCGGCTTCCTTGTTTAGTTCAAATGTAAACAAGTATTCTCGAGTAAATACGAGATCTATGTCGACGACGGTCAAGCAGGATTCAAACGCACCTAATGAAACATGCCTTGATGTACCGAAAAGCATATAGAAAAATGCCGGAAATAGAGAGGTATAAAGGCCGTTGACAGGTCGGACTCCGGCCAACGAGGCATATGCCATTCCTGAGAAAGAATGATACAATTTGAAAAAAAACCTCATCCGATGTGTCATATAAGCCCTATGAAAGCTGAAAGCTCCACCTTACCGCTCAGGTCAGAAGTTTCACCCTCGATGACATCCATTGTAAACTTTCAGGGAACACATCTCCAAACACCCAGTAGCTCTTTTACTTACCCGCTCGTCAAGTATATTCACACGGTTTCAGAGAGCGGCACGCCAAATTTTCCTAATAAACATTCGGTTTTTTTAATTACAAGGCCCATTCTACCCTAACCGTATGGGCGGAGTCACTTAGACAACTGAACCGCCTTTAATGGTGAGTCACTCCTTGTTACCATATGAATGAATGGAGGAAGGGCACACCAATGAGGTTGTTGCATAAGTTCTTATACACGACTTTTTTGTAAATATCTCAAAACGAACCAGCCTGGAGATTAGAGGTATGCACCATCACCATTCACTACTCGACGCCAGCGCTCAGGCAGCTTGTCGATTCCATCCTTCCAGAACGGACGGAGGCTTGGGACTGAAGAAGTCGTCGAGCGCCTTGCTTGATCCTGAATCCCTATGTTTCGAAGTTTTTTTTTTTCGTGCCAGATAGCGCCTGCAGCGTGGCTGAACAAGCCAGTAGTCAGAAGAAGCGCAGCCGCTCAGGCTGGCTAGCGAGGTGGGCGACCATCATGCTCATCCATACTTCTCCAAGCTCGGCGCTGGGTCGCCTTTGGCGCTGGGTTAGAACTGATGAGTTCTCAATTGTCCATGGGGGAAGTAGTTTCCCTTGAAGCTGACTTCATTACGTAGGAGAGTTTCACTGAATGACATCTTGTTCAACTCTTGCATTCCTTTCCACCCGCAGTACGGTCCCGACGTGATCTTTCCGCAGCTGGGTCACGTATGTGGAAGCGTCAATCGTCTGTCCCTTCTCCAGCAGCTCCCAGTACTCCATGCCTCTTCTGGACCACCAACAGGACAGGAGAACCTTTTTGGGGTGAAGTCGGCCTTTGGTGCTTCTGGCTGTTCTCCTGGGTTGCACCCACTGCCGCTCCCTCACAGGTATCGTACGAGCCACCCCACTCTCATCTCCAGCTGTATCATTCGAGTTGCAGAAAGTGAAGCCTCCTTTGGAAAGTGAGGAGAGAAGGTGCAGGTGGTCACCCTCCTCGGTCATAAGCGGACAGTTCATGTGGGACCCATCGACCAAGCTTTGCTACCTTGCCGAGCTTTTCTAGTCCACGTGCAACCGTCGAATGATCATAGCTAAGCATGGTCGCCATTTCTCTGGTGGTGAGGTACGGGTCCTCCTCCACGGTGGAACGTAGTACTTCCAAATCCAACTCCATCGGCCGACCCGACCTCGGAGCATCTTCGAGAGAAAAGTCTCCTTTCTTGAATTTGGCGAACCAATTCTTGCATGTCATTTAAGAGATGACCGTCCTCACCGTATGTATCCACCAGCTTGGTATGGGCTTCCTTTGCATTCCAGCCGAAATCGTGGAGCAAAACCAAACAGTGGCGCAGGTACGTTTTGTCACAGTGCAAATTGTGCGACATTGTGTACTGCAAATGCAAGCTCGGTGAGTGATAGCTAGTGTAATGAAAGAGTATAATGTACACGTCACGCACACGTGATGACGTAATACCAACATCCATGCGAACGAAATAGGAGAGGATCAAACACGTGTATAAGAACTTATGCAACAACCTAATAGTACGCTTTCCATCAGTTCCACTCAGTCATCATCGCATTATGTAAAGTTGTGCAGATTCTTGGTGAATTTGAGCCCCACCCAGAAAATCGTTCTTGGTACGGCACTACCTCTTTCCTCAGTATACCTACGCTTATACCAAATTTCTCATAAACCTTGCCGTCCAGCGAGGCAAGGGGGGGGGGCTAGGACAGTGGACACCCTTCGATCAACTATCAGGAATATGTAGTAGTTTTACTACCTCACTAATCAGGCGTGTATATAGGGCTCAAGAAGGGCGAATACTATCTATCTCCAGCGCCCAAAATGACCAACAGTTGTGTACCGTCAATGTCTCTGCATTCTTTCTCCCGTCCCGCAAGATTGATGGTATTAGCCGTGCGCGGGAAAGTTCTGTCACATTTTTTCAAACTAGGCCTTTTTTATAGAGAGGAGTGTAAGATCAAAATTGTACAGCAATGTAACTGCGGGGTCCTTGCCACTGTTTGAGCACCTCATGGATGCCATTGCTTCACTATGCAGGGAGACACGACGCAAAGTTGGACACCATCTCAACTTCGACTTGAACTGAGTTATGGAGGTTTTCTCGTCCGCATAACGATCGATTACGGAAGGCAACTTGCCTGTTAGAAGGGCGATGTCCTGTGCCTACACCCATTGCGTAAGGGGAGAGAGGACAAGCCTCCATGTTGCATGGAGGTAAGGCTCAACTTTTTTAGACCAGTGCGTAGCACTCCTCTTCGCGTGAGGGCCGGTCTGTGCGCCGACAAATTATTCCTCTGATCCACGATACGCCTTAGATCTCGTAGCTGCTTTGCGTACTCCTTGACCAGGAACGCAGCTTCTTCATCCAGCAGTTCCCGACCCATAGCTCCCTCAAGCTGAGGTTTGCAGGTAACCCAAAACCTCACTTCGCTCATCAAAATTGTAGGGTCTATCTAGCTCCCCGCCTTGAACGCGTCACTCCTCGATGGTAAGGCTGCCTCGATGATGGCGATCGTGCCTTATTTAGACCCTCAATTTGCATCTGCAGCTAACACGCTGGCGTCAGGTAGGTGAAATAGTTTGTGGAAGTTGTTGGATGGGTCGGGGCTGATGGTAGCGGATAAAATCCTTGTGCATATTGCAGAAGAAGGAGCAAGAGGCAAGCGAGTGGTACTAACAGAGAGACCACTCCTTGTTGTATAAGAGCTTACATTACCGGTTACCACTCTTGGTAATGAGGCAAGTAATTTGAGTTCGGAAAAAGTGACAGAACTTTCCCGCCAACCTAATACATGACGGACCTTACAACTACTTACAGTGGCCGTTGGGTGTTGATCCCCGATTGTCTCCAGGAGAAGAGAAACAACTAACGCAACTATCCCTTATCGTTCTGCAAGAACTCATCATGCACACGAAATAGCTTTAGGCAGTATTCAGACTCGTCGCGCTGCCACGCGCTCTACAGCGCTGTAACGCGCGACCATGCGCTGCAACGTGCTACAATTACAAGCGCGCTTCATTTCTACCGGACTTTCCTCTAATAGTTCACCCTTTCTTCATGGTTTTTCATTTCAATAATGCAAAATGCAAAGCATGACATACAGGGTCATGAACAAAGTAAAAAAAAACAAGCAAGTATACAAATTAGTAAAGACAAGGGAAGGCTCAGACAAGTCGTCAAATAACGTGGAGCCCTGACTCGGTCTCAGCACTATCGCTCATGGGAAAATTACTGATTGGGAGCAGGTACTTGACAAGTGGATGTAGTGGAGCGTTGTTCCATCCATTTGTGGATGGCTGCTGAGATATATCCACGAACGCTCAAGGAATTGCCGTGAGTTCCTTACCCAACGACGATGGTGCCGCCGCTCCGCCTCCTCGGCGACGCTCTCCGTTACCCTTACAGGAGATCAATATCTATCCAATGAACACAGGGAAGATAGTTCTCCCTGTCCAGAGAATCACAAAAGCGAAATTTCGGAACTTTACGAAGCTGTTTTTTATTGAGAAATTTTTATTTTTACACTGTAAAAATGAAAATGACTTGAATTCACAACGAACAAACCTTGTGGAACATGCATAATGCCGACAGTAAGTCCACCGATGATATCTCTGACAAGATTATTTTTGACATTGTACTGTGGCAACCATTTCAGTATAGGAACGAAGTCGAGAAGTACTTTTGGATGGCAGTACTTCGGATCGAAGCGAATTTTTTCCAGTTTCATCGTCGTCGTTGCTTCCTTTTTTGTATGACGAAGGAGCCCGAATTCTTCGTCAAAAATACACTATAATGAAGTTTCTTAACATATCAAGTAGACTGATCTGGAAATGACTAACATATTCAGAATGGGTGCGGTTCGGCGAGGGAGGGGTGGGGGGGCATTTTGCACTTTCGCTGTATCACTAGTTCCGGCTAACAAGTCACTCTGGTGAAACCTGTGAACTCTTATGAAGCTGGAGCAAGCCCATGGTGAAACCTGTCAACTCAATAAAAGGCTCTCTAGATGTGTCGACAGGTTGATGGGAAGTAGTAAATGTGCATTATGCCCCCTCCCCTCGCCGAACAGCCCCTGGGAATGTTTCATTTTATCTGGTTACATCCATCGT